TGTCCTCCTCCTGGGCGACCGCGGCACCTCCTTGGGCCCCACCTTCTGCGTCGTCGTGTTCTCGGTGGCGGTCGCCTCGCGGCGGCGCCAAGCTTGCAACCGTGCCTGCCCACCAGTGATCCTGTCCATGAGCCCCGTCCTAAGTATAGAAGGGCACGCGAAGAGAAGAAGGCGAGAAGGACCTTGCCTTCAAGGATCAAGAGGAAGAGCAGTATGCCCCCGAGGCCCAAAAGCCCCCAGACGGCCCAATATCGCCCTCGGACGGAACACGTAAACCTCAAGACGGCCCAAGACGGCCTCAAGACGGCCCAGGTGGCAGTCGAGGCGTCCCAGGGGAGCCAAGAGCCTTCCTACGAGGGCTCCGAGGGGCAAACACCAGTGATGGTTCTTGCGTTTTTTGTTTCTTGGGTGTCTGGTTCTCGCCGTATCGAGCCTCCGACTTTCTGAGACGACCCGAAAGGCCACCAGGACTGCCCCAAAACAGCCCCAGAAGCTCCGAAGAGGGCCCTAAGACGGCCCGAGAAGGCCACATGGCGGCCCCAGGGGCAGAGGGTGAGAACGAACCGAGAATTATTTAACCTTCCACCCAAACAAGGCCCAGGCGGCCCAAGAGGCTCAAAAGAGGCTCCCGATCAATCCCGCCCTCGTCGTCCGGCGGGGGCGGGATGTCTCCTCCGTCTCCGACACAACGGTGGCGCCAGCATCCGCCGCAAGGATGATGCGATGCCCCGCGCGCCGGCCTGTCGGGGGATAAAGCGCACACTCCCTCCTCCTCCTCCTCCTCCTCCTCCGCCTCCTCCTCCTCCTCCTCCTCCTGCTCCTGCTCCTCCTCCTCCTGCTCTTCCTCCTGATCCTCCTTCTCCTCCTCCTCATCCTCCTACTCCTCCTCCTCACCTCCTGATCCCCCTCCTCCTCCTCCTCCTGCCTCCTCCTCCTCCTCCTCCTCCTCCTCCTCCTCCTCCTCCTCCTCCTCCTCCTCCTCCTCCTCCTCCTCCCTCTCTCCTCCCCCCTACCTCCTCCTCCTTCCTCCTCCTCCTCCTCCATCCCTCCTCCTCCTCCTCCTCCTCCTCCTCCTCCTCCTTCCTCCTCCTCCTCCTCCTCCTCCTCCTCCTTCCTCCTCCTCCTCCTCCCCTCCTCCTCCTCCTCCTCCTCCTCCTCCTCCTCCTCCTCCTCCTCCTCCTCCTCCTCCCCTCCCCCTCCTCCTCCTCCCCCTCCCCCTCCCCCTCCCCTCCCCCCCTCCCCCTCCTCCTCCTCCTCCTCCTCCTCCTCCTCATCCTCCTCTTCCTCCTCCTCCTCCTCCTCATCCTCCTCCTCCTCCTCCTCCTCCTCCTCCCTCTCCTCCTCCTCCTCCTCCTCCTCCTCCTCTCCCCTCCTCCTCCTCCTCCTCTCCTGCCTCCTCCTCCTCCTCCTCCTCCTCCTCCTCCTCCCTCCTCCTCCTCCTCCTCCTCCTCTCCCCTCTCCTCTCCTCTCCTACCTCCGCCTCCTCCTCCTCCCTTCTCCTCCTCCTCCTCCTCCTCCTCTCCGCCTCCTCCTCCTCCTCTCCTCCTCCTCCTCCTCCTCCTCTTCCTCCTCCTCCTCCCCCTCCTCCCTCCTCCTCTCCTCTCCTCCTCCTCCTCCTCCTACCTCCTCCCTCCTCCTCCTCCTCCTCCTTGCCTCCTCCTCCTCGTCCTCCTCAGTCCTCTCTCCTCCTCTTCCTCTCCTCCTCCTCCGCCTCCTCCTCCTCCGCCTCCTCCTCGCCTCCTCCTCCTCCTCCTCCTCATCCTCCTCCCCCTCCTCCCCCCTGCCCCTCGCCCTCCCTGTACAATTACACTGTATGAATACTACTCCCCTGCATCCCCTGATGGCGTGCGGAAGATAGCGGGCACCCCTCCGCGTTCTGTTGTTCTACACACAGGTTTCCCGGAATTGGGTTTTCGCTTGGGTTTTTTTCATAATGATGCTCTCGCTGAGGCGCGGACTTCATTATCGGGCTTCCGTTCGTTCTGCGTCGTGTTCCCGCTGCAACGCTGGCCTCATTTCCGTGTTTCCGCTCGTTCCGAATCGTGTTCCCGCTGCAGCGCTGGCCTCATTTCCGCGCTTCCGCTTGTTCCGAATCGTGCTCCCGCTGCAGCGTTGGCGTCATTTCCCGTGCCATGCCACGGCATGCAATGCAATGCTAGGTTCGTTCCGCTGCGCGATGCCATGCCTTCAGCTGCAGCTGCCATATCCAGTGCGGAAGTGCCACGTCATGCTATGCCATGCTACGTTTTGATCTTCAACGTCATGCTATGCAATGTTATGTTCGGGGCCGCTGTGCGATGCCATGCTTTGCGTTGCAAAGCTTTGCGATGCAATTCTTCACTACGCCACGCCACGCCATGCTGTGACATTCTACGCTTTGCGGTGCTCTTCTATGCCATGCCATGCCGTGCTCTACAATGCATCGCGTACCCTTCCGGGATCCTTGCCCTGGTCGACATCCGACTGTGCGAGTAGAGAGGGGATCTACGCCATGGTAAGG